GACCACCCAGCTCCAATGCCAGCCATGAGGGCCTCCACGGCAGCCAGCAGGGAGCTCAGTGCCCTGGGCTAGGCCAGGTCCCACAAAGGCCACACTCAACAAGGACATGAGGAGTGGATTGAGGGTTTGGGGAAATTGGTTTATCCCAGACTGCAAGCCTCACAGAGACTGGGGGAGAGCTGGGAAAAGAAGTCAGACAGCCATGCACAGTGGCTCATGCCTGTAATCCCAGTACTTTAGGAGGCTGAGACGTGAGGATTGCCTGAGTCCAGGAGTTTGAGACCAGCCTGGGCAACATGGTGAAATCCCATCTCTACTAAAAATACAAAAATAAGCCAGGCGTGGTGGCAGGCACCTGTAGTCCCAGCTGCTCAAGAGGCTGAGGTGGGAGAATCACCTGAGCCTGACAGGTCGAGGCTGCAGTGAACTGAGATTGTACCGCTGCCCTCCAGCTGGGCAGCAGAGTGAGACTCTGTCCCAAATTTCAAAACAAAACAAAAAACCAAAAGAGGGGGTGCAGAGGAGCCAAAAGGGGCTGGGAGAGGCCAGGAAGCCTGAGCGTGACTGCAGAGGCCGCTGCACAAGAGCTAGACAAGAATGGGAGGCAGCCAGAATTTGCCCCAACAGGAGCTGCAAAAAGGGAAAATCAAGCCTGCAGCCTGGAATACTTTCCTCGGGAAGCATCAGGTTCACCTCCAGCCTCACTCCAGAATGCAGGCAGAGCTCCTAAGGGGAACCTACTCCCTAGCCCAGTTTTCTCTTCTCCAAAAAGTCTGTCCCTCCCTTCAGATGAGGAAGCCCAGGCCTCTGGGCTTGCTCCTCTGTCTTCATCCTGCTGAGAGACTCTGCTCAGGAGACTGGTGGGCTCAGGGCTTGTCTGCGACTTCAGAGGGAGTCGAGTGGAACGTGACTGCTTTCACCCAGCTGTGGCCAGCTTGCCCCGAAAACAACCAAAAGCAAACATCACGCCACAGGAGGGCTGATTTCATTCCTAAGATGCTCCTTTCTTATCCGTGCGAGAGGTCACATCCCTTCTACTACTGGATGTTGGCCATATTTCCCAGGAAATAATAAGCTTGGCATCATTTTGCTAAGGAAACATCCATGCCTCCCTGCCCTGGGTGACATCACAAAGTGTCCTCATCAGAACCATACTCATCCATTCATTCGTCCAACAATACTTAATGAGTGCCTGCTACATGCCAGACAAAAACCCCTCCACCCTGGTGGAGTTTGTACTCTAATGAGGGAAGAGAGAAAGTACTTTTTAAATAATAACAAAACAAAGTGAGAAGGACAGCAGATTGTTAGTAGGTGACACATGCTAAGGAGAAAGCTGGGCAGGGGCGGGAGCGTGGGAGTGGGCACGTGTGCCTGGGAAGGCAAAGCCTGGAAGAACGTGCTCCCATGTGACCAGCCCACTCCTGTACCGGCCGTCAGCCCCTCTCCTGGCTGCACCCTGGGAAAGAACAAAGTTCCCATGCACACCAGCCCCTCTCCCTCAGACAGGAGCTGGCTGGGGAAGCCAGCGCAGCTGCCCTGTGTTCTCGTGAAGGAGGCACCATCTCCGGCTGCTCATCCTGCCCAAGGTCCTGCTTCTGCCACCGCCCTGCCTTCTAACAGCCACCCCCTGAGCCACCTGTGCACATTGCTCATGAGCTCGGGGTCCAGGTCAGAGGGATGGAGGAAAGCCTTCCTCCCTAAGCCTTCCTGCTGCAGCCTCCTTCTTGGTGGCTGCGCCTTCCTGCAGAGCTGCCTTCTGTCACACGCATTTATTTCCTCAGGTGTACTCGGTGCCCCTCCTCTCCCCGTCTTCTCGCTCCCAGGACGAATTCACCTCCCTCTGCCTCTCTGTTCCTTACAGACAGCCATGTGCTGTTCGGTAGGGGGACATGCAGATGAGGAATCCTGATTTCACCTACGTGCTGGCTTTCTTTAACATGCTGGGCAAGCCCTTTCCACCTCCTTCTGTTCCGCCCAGCTGGGAGGCTGGATGGCTGAGCAATACTCCCTACAGACCAGAAATAACATCATCTCCCAGCAGAACCCTCCTGGACTAATGTATTTTACCAAAAAGAAAGACCTTCAATGGCCAATAAAAACATCTTGTGTCAATCACTGATGTGATGGGGCTGCCTCATGAAAAGCTGAACTCATTCTTTAGGGAGAAGAAAAATCACCAGAACCAAATGAGAGCATGTCAGAGGCAACAAGAGGAGCTCTTAGGAGGCCAGGCTGAGACACAGAGCACACAAGAGAAGAGGCAATGTCATCCTGGGCAGAGAAAAGAAGGGAAGACAGGAGATGCCAAGGAAACATGAAGCCCAGAAGATAACACAGGACCTGAAGAGAAAAGCTGAAAGCAAATGAAGGAAAAAATGTGTAACCACCCCTTCCCTTTGGCAATTGGGATATGTCACATGCAGAGCAAACCAGGCTCAGACTAGCTGCTCCCAGCCATGGCGTTCACAGAAGAGGACTTCCAGGATGGGCTCATCTATTCAGTAGCTCAATTTCAATCCCAAAGCAATCTGTTTAGGTAAATGATGAAAAGTGTGAAAGAGCGAATATAGCACATTACCATTTGTGTTCTTTGGTACGTAGACACGTGTACGTGTGTCTGTGTGGATGCAGGTCGTATCTGGTCGGAGAGCAAAGTGGCTAACAGAGGCTAGTTGGAGACAGGAGGGAGGGTAACTGACTGTTTACTGTATGCCCTTTTAAATATTATATATGGGCCAGGCGCAGTGGCCATATATAATATTTAAAAGGGCATACATATTTAAAAGGCGCCACTGCGCCTGGCCCATGCCTGTAATCCCAGCACTTTGGGAGTCTGAGGCAGGTGGACCACTTGAAAGCCAGGAGTTTGGGACCAGCCTGGCCAATATGGTGAAAAACCATCTCTACTAAAAATACAAAAATTAGCCAGGCATGGTGGCGTGTGCCTGTATGTAATTCCAGCTACTTGGGAGACTGAGGCAGGGGAATTGCTTGAATTTGGGAGGCAGGGGTTACAGTGAGCCGAGATCATGCCACTGCACTCCAGCCCAGGCAACAGAGTGAGACTTTGTCTCAAATAAATAAATAAATAAATAAATGTCTCATATGTCTTTATAATGTTGTACATATCACCTATTTAAAAATAGGGATAGAAGAAGAAAAACAGATAAAAGGTTTTAAGCCCCTGAAAATGCCCAATTGTATTTGCTGAGGTTCATACAACGCTAAACAATAGGGATGGGGGAAATACACAAAGTTAATTTTATCCAAAACCCTATGTTCCCCATATTACCTCCAAATCTCAGCGGAACAAGGCGTGAGATGAGAAAGTGCGATACCACAGATGGATCAGTTCCAGCTCCCTTTCCTTTGATACTCCCAGGGGCAAATCCTGACTTGAGGAAATGTTATATAAAATAAAATGATCTGCCCAAATGTGAATTCCCCCAGGTTTGTGCATATGTGCCGTAGGGAATAATAAATCACTGCCTCACTACAAAAGTATCTGCAGGACTTCGTACCACTGTGACTATTTTTTTCAACATACCTAACTGTGGCTTCTTCAGGTCTCAAGCATCATAAAAGTCAAAATGCCCTACATCCTGCATTTCTTTAATCATTTGTGTGGTCCGTGGTCCATGGTCCAGATGGTGGCGATGCAGGTGATGTGAACCTTGCTTCTCTTAACCCATCCCCACATCTGTGTTTTTTGCTAAAAGCTTCAGGTCTATTTCTCAAAACTAGCACTTTCTCTTCCTTCTCTCTAAGGGTGGCTTTGCATGTTCCCCGGGGAATGAAGAACTGTGCAGGAGGGAAACCTCTCCCAAGTAGATCAATTCAAGCTTAGGGAGAAAGTAAATAACACGTTTGCCTCTACCCTCACCTGAGTGGCTTTTCACTCATCCAGGACGGTAAACAAAACAAGAGCACAAAAGGCAGGCAATGCGCAGAGCTGAGACAACAGGTGGTCCCCTGGAGAAAATCTGCAGAAAACAGGCTGTATAGTTCAAGTTTCTCTCAGGGCATGAGAAAGCCCACGGAAGGCTAGTTCTGGCTCTGGTTTCTTCCCCACCAGTCCTGCTTTGGTAAGCAGTAATTCACACGATTTTCTGGAAGGCTTTTTGCCTGGCTGCAGGGTGGGAGAGATGTTCCCACCAGGATGTGCCCCTGGGAGCCCAGTTCCCTGAGCTGTCCTGCGCTCCCTCAGTGGGGTGCCCCAAACAACGCAACATTTTGTTTCTGGGAAACTTGCAGCTCTTTCTCTGGAGGAACTTGGCTACTTTCCACCCATGAAGATTCTTTCTCTTCAAGCACATGTGCAAGCCACCAGCGTTGCTTCACTTAAGCAATGGTAATTTACCCTAAACCCCAAGCGAGGAAAGCTGTGCGGCCAGCAGGAGCCACAGATGTGAAATGGTCCCATGGTATCATCTAAATGAGGAAAGCCGGCCCCCAGGGAAGAGTCCTCCAGGCCAGCGCGGGAGTGCAGAAAAGCAGGCTGTTGTTAAACAGTTTTCTTCCCGCCTCAGACGGGAGCATCAGCAATTAGAGACCGACAAATTCCTGCCACCTACCAGATACTGGTCCCTTGCTGGTCTGCTGTATGTGGCCACCTCCCCAGTTCGGGCCCTTTTGGAAAGTGTCACCTGGCTTCTTGCATCACCTTTGTAACTGGTCCACCTGCCTTAGCATTTCTGCATGCTGACATCGCCAGCTACTGTAGAGGTCAGCTCCAGCTTGTCCATGCCTGACATATAGCCTGCCCATAAAGTCCTGCTACCGAAACCTTGCCTGCCACTCGGCCTCCAATCACCTCTTCTGGAGTCAGGGCAGTGCAGAAGGCCTGTGCAAAGACACTGAGTCCAAAGGAGCTTTGACAAGATCAAACAACTTGCAGAGGCCAGCATTGCTGCAGGGTCATAAAGGAAGGATCACAGCGGCTTCACATGGGGCAAGAATGAGAGTCAGGGCCAGCCCATGCTGCCAAAGAGAAGGGTGTGGCTCTCTAGTCATGGAGGGTGACGTGCTTGACCCTTCCATGGCCTAGTTTCTGTTAGAAGACCTCAGTGAGACCCCAAGAGAATGAATGGGGGTAAGAAGGACAACAGTGAAGGTGAGAGCTAATCTAACAGTCCAGGGGTGAAATGATGGAGGGCTGCAGAGGACCAGTGACCATGAAAGCAAAGAGAAATAAACAGACTCTAGATATACAACAGGCCAGCTGTAGTGGCTCACTCCTGTAATCCCCGCACTTTGGGAGGCCGAGGCTGGAAGATCACCTGAGGTCAGGAGTCCGAGATCAGCCTGGCCAACAGGGAAAAACCCCACCTCTACTAAAAATACAAGAGTCAGCTGGGCATAGTGGCAGGTGCCTCTAATCTCATCTACTCAGGAGACTGAGGCAGGAGAATCACTTGAATCCAGGAGGTGGAGGTACAGTGAGCCAAGATAGTGCCATTGCACTCCAGTCTGGATGACAAGAGCAAGACTCCATCTCAAAAAAAAAAAAAAAGATATACAACAAAGGCAGATTACAAAAACTGCTGATGAATCAGATGGGTGAGGAGTAGGGAGGATTGAGGAGAAAGAGAAGGGAGAAATCTACCAGGCATCTGACTGGAGCAACTGGGAGGGTGCTATGGTTTGAACGTCCCCTCCAAAACCCATGTAGAAACTTAATCTCCAACACAGCAGTAGGGAGAGGTAGGGCCTTTAAGAAGTTCTGCCCTCATGAATGAATTAGTCCATTCATGGACTAATGGATTACCGGGTTAATGGTTTAATGGGTTATGATGGCAGCAGGACCAGTGGCTTTATAAGAACAGGAAGGGAGGCCTGAGCTGGCACACTCAGCCCCTGCACCATGGGATGCCCTGAGCCACCTTGGGACCCTGTAGAGTCCCCACCAGCAAGAAGGCCCTCACAGGGTGCAGCCTCTCAACCTTGGACCGCTCAGCCTCCATCACTGCAGGAAATCAATCCCTTTCTTTATCAATTACCCAGTTTCAAGTGTTCTTGATTAAGACTGAGAGGCTGGCAGCTTTAAGACCATGAGCACCATCGGAGAAGCAAGTGTCAGAGTTAAACATCCTGAGCCTGGGTTGCATGTGAAAAGTTTGAGACAGTGCTGAGGTACCCACATGGAGATGTCAGAAGGCAGCTTGCTGTCGGAGAGTGGAGCTGGAGCTCCGGAGAAAGACTTGGGCTAGAAATAGAAACCTAGACCCACCAGGGTGTGGATGTTCTTGCAAACCACGGCCATGGCAAGGGCAGTTGGCAGCCCAGTCACTCAGACCTTAGCAGATGCCCTGCCTGCAGCAAGCTTGCTGCCTCACTGCCCCATGGGGCCGTGTCTCCATGCCAAATGGACTCAGAAAGGTCTCCTATCTCCTGCCAATCATGGAGATTTTACAAGTTATGTTTTCCAACTTGATCTAAGGGATGTGAAAAGAGATTGATTTTGAAAGCCAAAGGACAGGAAAAGCCTAGTGACAATGGGAAGAACCTGATCTTACACGCCCAAAATGGTTCCCAGACGCCGCTGCGCACACAGGAGCCATCTGCCTGCTGGTGGCCGCTCAGCCTAGGCCAGCAGCTCCAGTCAGGGGGAGAGCGAGCATCTATCTAACAGCATCTGATATCAGCACCCCATCTTCCTGCCCCTCCTCCAAAAAAATCCCTCCACACCCCCGCCCCCCAGCCTCAGAAAGCCTCTGTATTACCATCACGAGCCCTGCGAGGAGGGGGCCTGGCCAAGGATGTGCTGAAAGCCGCACAGAGAGATTGATGTGGGGAGCGGCTGCCCCGGGCATGTGTTCGCCATCTGTCAGGCGGAGGGATCCCTGCCAGCCCTACATGGTTATTCAGTATTAAAAGAATATTCTTTAGTTTGACTGACACCCTACCCTGGGCAGCCTCAGCCAAGACGGTTGGGCTCTGGGATCCAGATGGGATGGAGGGGCCTCTGCTCTCCTGAGAGATGTCTCCGGAGGGCTGGGCCACCCAGGGTACTTGGGAGGAGGGGGCTCTCCAGGGGAGAGTGTGGCTTGGCCAGGGCCGGGCAGGCCTGGGCTTGAGCTGGAGATTTTATGTGTGGCTTGGTTTCAAACACAAGGGCGGGACTGAAAGAAAATGTTCCTCACACATTATCCTTGCTCCGTAGGGTCTTTTGGAGAACTGGAATGCCAGGCTTGCGGGCTGCCTCCTGCGATGGAATACCCACCGTCAGGCTTTTTCCTGGAAACGTGTAGACACAGATAAACTTTGCTTATTAATTTCAGACCAGACACCAAGAATAGACAGAGGGCCCCTTTGCAGTGCTAACCTTGCTGCCTTCTCAGATATCCAGGTTTCCTTCCAGGAAGCCATCCTCCTCCAGAAGGGATCATTTGGATGTGGCCCCTTCCCACTGAACTGAGCTATAGCCGAGTGACTCCCTTGGGCAGTGGAACACAGGTAAAGTGGCATGTACCACGTCTGGATGGAAGCAAAGACACCGTGCAGTTGAGGGGCAGGAAGATGGGGTGCTGATATCATATTGCACCAGCAGGTTGCAGAAAGAGGACACTCATTTAGCCTGGGTCCCAGGGCACCGCCAGCATGGAGCGGAGTGGCAGCCAACCTGTAATGAAGTCATGATGTGACTGGCTTCATGATGAGACATCAGCCTTTCTTTTTAAACTGCTGGGATCTGGGGTCTGATTGTTTTCACAGCAAACCCCAGCTTATCCTGACTGATACATTCATATGTTTGCCATGTACATCACCTGCTGTCTTTATACACCCTGCATGGTTTCAGAAGTTTCAGTTGGCAGTGGGAAAAATACCTTTGCAGCAAAAACATTTAAAGGGAAAACTGAGGGCAGATATTTAATTAAAATTTACTGCCACGTTAAGTTTTCACAACTAAGAACAGTACTAGGTTGGGATTCCAGGAAGGTTGCTCAAGAGGCATGGTGTTTGTGGTGGAAATAAAAGCTAGAGACCCAGACCAAAAACCTCCCCAACCAACAACATCATGGCAGAGGGTCTAAGTGTTGGAGATTCAGAGCAAGTTATGGGGGGCACACAGAATTGTTTGCAGGTCATTTAAACAGCTCTCTGCTCTGCACATATGTGAGCCCTTTTCTTTTTTTTCCTTTCTCTATCTCTCTCTCTTTTTTTAATGGATGCAAGCTCTCATGGAGTCACCCAGGCTGGGGTACAGTAGCATAATCACAGCTCACTGCAGCCTGACCTCCTGGGCTCAAGTGATCCTCCCTCAGCCTTCTGAGTAGCTGGGACTATAGGCAGGCACCACCATATCCAGCTAATTTTTAAAACTTTTGTAGAGTTGGGGTCTTGCTGTGTTGCCCAGGTTGGTTTCAAACTCCAGGGCTCAAATGATCCTCCCACCTTGGCCTCCCAGAATGCTAGGACTATGCTTGTGCCACCGCATCCAGCCATGGGCTTCCTTTTGTTATCAAGCTGTATTTCCAACACTTTCATCTGGGTGTTTGATGTAATCTCTCTGGAGAGGGATTGGTAAAAATCAAACTTTATCAGTAGTGCCCGTTTTGGTTCATGAAGACAAGAGAATTCTGCTCCTCTTAATCCACTCCAAGCATATCACTGAGCCCTGCAAGTGTGAGAACTACTTGCAGGCTGCCAGAGTGCTGCTGACCACATGGAGATGTGCCTGAGCTGAGATGGCTCCCTTTTGGTTACCAGGACATTTCCAGTTTGGTTGCTAAAAACCGAACGTCTTTCTTGTGAGCCGTTCCCCTGAGATGCCCGAGTTGGCTCTCAACCCCAAATCTCACATTTTCTATTCTGTTTGTCAGCTACCCGAAGAGTGGGCTTACCCCTGCTAAACGTGGCTCTGAGAAAGCTGCATCTGATTTAGCAGTTCGCTAACAACTCAGCACTCCCAACAGTTCGTGATCATGTGAAGTAGAGGCACGAGTGCGGCTTTCACACACACACATGGCTGCGCATGTCATGCGTAGAATGGCAAACGCTCCTTCTGCCACGAGGAGGGGCTGCTGCAGCCGGTTTCAGTGCCAGCAGCAGAGGCCTGGGCTGCCTCACCGCCTCCCGAGGGCACTCAGTGGCCAGAGCGAGGAGGGGCTCTGTGGACGCCAAGCACCTCTTGATTAAGGACATGTTTGCCTTGCCATAAAATGATCATCTAAAAGCAACACAGCATTTTTAGTTTTGCTTTGTTTTTCCCTGTTTTCTTCCTTCCTGGTCTCGGGGTCTGAGGCCATTTTGTGGCAGCCTCTCCATTCCCATCTTTTCCTTAGACATGCACTCAGATGTACCCAGACACAACCACACACATCCACACGCATCCACACACACCCACACACTTCCACATGCATCCACACATATGCACCCACACACATCCACACACCCACACGCATCTATACACACCCTCACATCCACACGCACCCACACACATCAACACACATCCACACACACACCGCCTACAGACATACACACACAGCCACGCACAGCCACACACACCCCCACACCCATACACATACACATGCATCCACACACCCACACACACCACCCACACACATACACACACTCATACACATCCACACACACCCACACACACCCATATGCATCTATACACACCCTCACTCCCACCCACACACACACATATCCACACACACCCCCACACACCCACATGCATCTATATACACACACACCCATACACACCCACACACACCCACACACATCCACACACACCCACATGCATCTATACACACCCATGCTCCCTCACACATCCACACACACATCCACACACTCACATGCATCTTTACACACCCTCACTCCCACACACACCCTCTGCCTCCTCCATTCAGAACTGACCGTGGTCTTTTCTCCATGAATAAGCTTCAATTTCACAGCAGCAGAAAAGAAAAACAGCACTGCTATGAAAGTCTAATGCTGGCTTTGAAATTAGTTAATAGCAACACAAACAGGAGTTTATCATGGAAAGTGATCACTCTCCCCATACATTACCACACCTTAGACTGAAGCCTAGGTGAATGAAGCCTAGAGAAGGAAGTCGCCTTTGAAATACTTCAGGCATGCAGATAACAGCCTGCAGGCAGGTTTTGAAGTCAAAGCCTCCGCAAGGCTTGCTGTATCACCTATGAAGACACTGCAGCTGGGGCCTTGACTGAGTGGGGTTTCAGGCCTTAATCCTTCCCTCTGGATCCTTGGTAGTTAAAGTAGTGAGGTTGCATGTGATTAAGGTGGCGGGGAATCATCGTTTTTCCCCTTTCCTCCCCGCTAGGGTCTTCTTATGCTTGAGGGACTAACCATGACTGAGAGGCAGCAGAAGGCACGACCCTGAAAGGTCCCAGTTCGGGGGGTCACTTGGAATGAGTGCACTCTGTGAGTTGTGTCCTGAGGCCCTGGTAGGGAAAACCTTCCCTTAAAATCACCCAGACCTGCTGGCCTGACATTTCATCATGGACAAGGGCCATTCATTTGGGGCTGCTGGGGCAATAGGGCCCAACGGTCAGAGCCAAGACCCAGGAAACAGAGGCTTAGCTGTGTGACCAGGGCCAGTTACTTCGCTTTTTCTGGCTCTTTTCTATAAAATGGGCAGAGGAGGACCCACCTCCTGAGCCTAGCGTGACAGAGGAACAGTGGAACCTACGCCTCACATCCATCACCAGTGCCTGGCCTGGAAGGGGTGAAGGGAACTCTTCCTATTCTTAGGGGTCATGCCTTCAGCAGAGGGCGCAAGGAAGCCAGGAAGAAAGGAAGGACACCAGGCCACAGGAAAGAGAAAAAGCAGCTTTGGCAGGGCTTGTGACTCAGGTTCTCTGTTCCCTCGCTAACCCTCACTGAGGCAGACCTGAGACTCAACGAGATCATGTAGCCCAGGCACGGAGTCTCCCACCCAGCACTTTGGGAGGCCAAAGTGGGAGGATAGTTTGGGCCCAGAGTTCAAAACCAGCCTGGGCAATATGGTGAGACCCTGTGTCTACAAAAAATAAAAATAAAAAATTAGCCTGGAGTGGTCATGTGCACCTGTAGTCCCAACTACTTAGGAGGCTGAAGTGGGAGGATGGCTTGAGCCCAGGAGGTTGAGGCTGCAGTGAACCATAATTGCACCACTGCACTCCAGCCTGAGCAAAGGGAGATCCTAACTCTAAAAGGAGAGAGAGAGGGAGAGAGAGAGAAAGTGCAGAAAGTACATGAAGTGAGAGAACACGTAGAAGGCAGGCCTGGCCCGTGGAAAGAGCTCAATTACTCTTACAGAAATTGAATACTTTTGTAATGCAATGAACGGGAGCACTGAGCCAGTGAACACTGGAGGTTCATGATCCAGGAGCTTCGTGCACAGTCCCCATCAACCGAGACCAATGGTTTTTGCCTTCCTCTTCTTTGGGGTTACCTCCTGGAGCCTCCTACCTAGAGAGCAAGCCTAGCTTCTCCTGCTCCATTTGGAAGAGTTGACCCCTGAATCCTAGAGTTGAGGCACTCCATCTCAATATTACATCCACCACTTTCTCAGGGGTTGGGATTCTTATGCAAAGGGCTTTTGGAGGCCTTCCCCAATAGCTCAGAATTTGGGGGTGAGCATATAATTTTGTCTTCAATTAGGTATTGCCTGCCTTAGCCTGGACCAAGTGTTGACAGGAATTGGTAACTGGTGGCGAGCTATGGAGAGGGTGAGGATGAGGCATCCGGCGTATGAAGGACTCAGGCTGCCACATGGCTGGGAGGCATTCTCACTCCAGCTAGGACCTCCAGGACAATGTTGACTAGAACTGACCACAGAAGATAGCCTTGTTTGCAGCCTCAGGAAAAATGCGCCCAATATTTCATGTTTGTGTAAGATGTCACCCACAGATGTTTTGGAGATAGCCTTTAACAGATTACGGAAGCCTTTTTAATTAGAGGAATGCCATTTTTTTTTAGTTGTAAACAGGTGCTGAATTGTACCTAATGCTTTAAGATCTATTGAGATTATCATATGACACGACTTTTTTCTCCTTTATTCTATTAATATGATTATTATGTTAAATGTTAAACCAACCTTATATTCCCAGGAGAAAAAAAAGCCACTTGTTCATGATGTATTATCTTTTTTATATATTCTGTATCTTATTTGCTGCATGCCTGCTCATGAGAGATTCCGGCCTGTGCTCTCCTTTCTTATAATGTCCTTGTCAAGTTTTGATATCAATGTTATGCTGGCCTCATAAAATGAATTCAGAAATGTTCTTTCTTTTTCTATTCTCTGAATAGTTTCTGTACTATTGATATTATTTCTTCCCTAAATATTTAGACTACTTGTTGACATCTGTGGTGGGTTTTTAAATAAGTCCACAAATTCTTTGATCCTCTTCTCTTCAAGTGGTGCAGCGTAATTCTCTTTCTCTTGAGTGTAGGCTGGATTTTGGGACTTTCTGCTAATGAGTGCAATAATGGCAGGTCACATCCAAGATTATTTCATGAACTGTAGCTTCTGTCATAGCTTCTCGCCCCCTGTCTGTCTCTCCTCATCAGTCCCACTGGAGAATCCACCTGCCAGGCTGGGAGCAGCCAGTGAGGATCCAAGGCCTCCCGACAACCGTGTAAGTGAGCCTGAAGTGGTTTCTTCAGCCCCAGGCAAGCCATGAGGTGACTGCAGGGGCGACAGCTTGACTGGAGCCTCATGGGGGGCGGGGGGCTGAGCCAGAACCACCCAGCTAAGCCGCTTCCAGATGCCTGACCCTCAGAGAGTAGGTGAGGTAAGAACGCGTGTTGCTTATCTGCTGTGTCTTAGGGTGATTTGCAATGCACCAACAGGTCACAAGCGCCGTGGCTCAGAAGTTAGCTCTCTTAAACTCACCTCTCGCTTCTTATTCGAATACCTTTACATTCTGCTAGAGGACATCTTACACGAACTTCCTAAAAGGAGTACAAGAGTAGTGAACTTGGTCAGTTCTTGCAAATTTGAAATGTCTTCATCTTATCCTCACACTTGATTCATAGTTTGGCTGGATGTCGAAAGCTGGGTTGATCATCGGTTTTCCAGAAAAGTATGAGGACATCATTTGACCACCTTCCAGTTTCCAGGACACTATGGGGAAACGCAGTGTCATCATGGTTCTTGTTTCATTGCGTGTCATTGCTTTTTTTTCTCTTCTAGAAGCTTCTGAGATACAGTTTTTAATCCCTAGAGTTATAAAGAGTATTTTTTCGTTAATTAGGAAGTGAATGGATTCGGTGCAGAGCAGCACCACACAATAGGGCTTTCTGTGCTGAGGGCACATTCATCATCTGCACCGCCCAATATGGCAGCCAACACCCATGCACGCTGTTGAGCACTTGAAATGTGGCTAGTGCAACTGACAAATGAAACTTTAACTTCACTTAATCTCAAATAATTCTAGGTTTAACTTAGTTAACCATGGTAGCTAGAGGCTCCCATCTTGAACAGCGCAGATCTAGCTGTTCTGTGTGTGTTCTGATAAAGTGTCTTTTTATTTTTAATTTCTTTTTGTTTCTCTGGCTGTGTTTTTTGATTCGTCATTGTTAGAGATCCTTGATTGGGTCTCCTAAGTTTCTTACACTGATGTCCTTTTTCTCCATCTCTGCCTGTTTGTTCCTCCTTTGGAAATAGAAACAAAGGTTTTCTATGTCAACTTGATTTTTTTTTTTTTGCTTTTTTTTCTTTTTAGTTTCAAAAGCTCTTCTTATTGTCAGATTGTTAATTTTTAAAGGGTCTTATACTTGATATATGGATGCATTACTATACTTTGTCTCTGAGAGGGTTTTTTCAAGTTTTTGTCTGTTCTACGCATTTTCTCCTTCCTCTAAGTTCACTTTATTCTGTCTCCATCATGTGAATGGTGCTCCTTAAATGTCTGATAATCTGGGCTATTTGCTCATATTTAAGACTTAAGTGCTAAAAGTCTGATTGAAAGCTTTGGGGGGCAGGTCTAGGCAGAGCTTCTCAGTGGGTGAGATTCCCCTCAGAGTCCTCAGGTGGCAAGCCACCTGATGGAGGTCCCTAACAGGTCAGGGTCAGGAGGTCTCATCTCTGGGTCCATTTCGTTTCTTAAGGGAAGAGTCCTTCAGTCCCATGCCTACAGGAAGGCAGGGCTGCTGACGTGTGTCTGCCTTCCCATGTTCTGAAAGGTAAGAAAGGTAAGAAAGCTGGAGAC